TCCTGAGATTCTGTGATTCTGTGATAATTCTTTAGGTATTTTTTTATAAATAAGGCAGGAATTAGAAGCTCTATAATTGGACCTTTTATTGCCACATAAGAAAGAATATATTACAACTTCATCTCTGTCTCAGAGCTGTGTTCAGACAAGGACCATGTCATGATAACAAGACAGCTCTGGCTATGCTCAGCAGGCAGCTCTGCTGAGGCAATAAGGCCTTGCCTTCACAATAACTTTTCAGGTGTGCTGTACTGCAAATACATTTGGATCGTGCTGATGGAAATCTGAACCATGGAATAACTGAAGCTGGAAGGGACCTCCTGGGATTGGTTGCTCCAATGTCTGCTCAAAGCAGGGCCACCTACAGCAGGTTGCTCAGGGTCAAGTACTGAATATCTCCAGGGACAGAGTTTCCACAACCTGTCTTGGCACCTGTTCAGTGTTCAACCACCATTATGACGGAAAAAAAGTATCATTATATCCAAGCATGGAGAGACAGGCAGGCAACAGAGGATGAAGTTTAGACTTAGAAGCCAGTGGTAAAGAGATCAAGCAAGAGAGTGGATGACTGTGCAACTCTGCAAACAGCTATCACAATTTTAACTTTTTACTACTTGGCTTCATTTGCTCTGTGACTGGAGGTCATCACCTTAAAGCTGAGCTGTTAGAAGAAACAGTGTCAGAGCCCCTAGACTTTCTGAAAGCAAAATCAATTGGATTAGTTGAAGCCATTGCTAAGAATGTTTTGAGGTACATTGTCTGCCTTTGCACTGAAAAGGATTAGGAAGTGCTTGCATGATCTCTTATGGATCCTGTCCTCTGGGAACAATAACTTCTTCTTGTGAAGGACAGAGCTGGGTGGTAACATCTTAGACTATTGCGGAAACATGAGTCACAAGCACACAGCACCATTCTTGCCTGGAATTCAATTTGTACCGTGCTTAAGAAAAGCTGGGGATCTCTGTAATTTTAATATTGCTGCCACTTCAGTGATATCTTTTGGCATAACTTTCAAGTCTCTTGATAGAGAGGAGTGTTAATAGGATGTCATGAATGTATCAATACTAACAGGGCAAAGATAAGTACAGCTTTCAGCATTTACATATCAAGCTGGATGACAAGGATTTGTTTTGGTTTTCCAGACATGGATTGGATGTGAAAAAAGATTTAGAAGTTCTTTTGGAAGGAGTGACTGAATTCAAGATAGAAGATGACAGTGCCCCCTCTGATCTGCTCATCCATGGCGCATTAGCATTTCCCATCGCTATGAATGACTCCCAGCAGGCATTCCTTGCAGCTGCACACTATGGCAGGGGTCGTGTTGTGGTACTCTCTCATGAAAGCTTTTTCCAAGCATCAGCAATGAAAACCTTTATCCTTAATGCCATTGGTTGGCTTGATGCTGGGAAAGGAGGACAAGTTGGCATTGCTGGTGATCTGCAGGACTTTTTCACTCTCTTGAACCAGGAGAAGATCCCTTGCAAGGTAACAGGTCTTCAGGAAAATCTGAGTGTGTACTGTTGCAAAGCCTACAGTGATAAGGAGGTGGAGAAGGTTCATGAGTTTGTTTCAAGAGGCGGTGGTCTGCTGGTTGGAGGACAGGCATGGTCCTGGGCTGCAGGGAATGCTGATGAGAATGCCATTGCTGGGTTCCCTTGGAACAAAAGACTGCAAAAGTTTGGAGTTGGTATCTTAGATTTCATACCAGAATCAACTCAACCAGTCTCACATCCCGATAAGGTTTCCTCACAGTACCACTTTCGCAAGGCACTCTCCCGATTTCAGCAAAACCTCGAGAAAAAAGAAGCTCTGAAGCCACCATATTCTTCCTGGCTCAAGAAATTAGCACGGGACTCAGCAGTGTTCCTGAGGATTCCAGCCCAGACCTCCCAGGTTATCCGGTCTGTCCAGAAGGAGATGGCTGAACTAGTGCTTTCCCAGGGGGTTCCTGATGTCACTGCTGACAACCCCATCAAAGGCAGCTCTGAGGATATGGTTTTAATCAACATAGCTGCAGAGCTCTATGACAGCTTCCCTGAGGTGCGAAAACAAATGAGTGCTCCCAACCAAAATCTTCCAGAAATGACTACATCCCCAGCTGTAACTGTTAAAATTGATGGAAGAAATGAAGGTAGGGCATATTTTTCTATTTCCTTCCTCAGCAGCACCCAAACTGTGAAATGGAGTCAGGCTGACCGGAGTAATCCATAAATATAATAGTCTACATCTCTCTGCTTCCTTCCTGCCCCAGCTTTCTTCTGGAATTGCATGCTCACCATGTAATCAGAAAGAGCTTGGTCTTATGATGGATAGTGGCATATTGATAATTTGATCTTCTGTTGGGTACAACTTTGGTCAGATGATTAACAAATTTTTGGTTATGCAATAGGGGAACTGTCCAGGCACGTGGCCCGTAAATGCTTCTAGAGGAAGCAATTTAACTTCTTGGTCAATGTGAAGTATCACCACTGCTCTTTGTCAAATTTGAGTGCAAAGACATTACACCTGAAGGTGTTATTGCATGGAGCTGTGTGTTTTGTCTTGCTTGAGGAGAGCTTCTCTGGAAAGAAAAAAATCCCACACCGTTATGCAGTGTTTCCAGTTGGACATAGAATACCACAGGTCACTTTTTAGATTGTGCTGCATTCTTTTCAGAAACTATCACCACTTCCCATGTTTGGTTTGTTTTGCCTTTTAAATAAAATGTTACCAGAAAGGTCACCTTGATACCAAGTTTATCCAGCTGAACTAAGTTTTATGACATGAGAGTAGGGCAGGTTTTTCTTGATAGCTTAGTTTGAAATTTCCTTGCATTTTCTCAGTTCCCTCATAAAGTATTCAAACTTTTCAAAAAAGATTCAGCATTAGCTGTTGGTCAGATGGATTCAGCACAAAGGTGAAAGCTTCAGAAAACTAATTTATTAGAATTAGAATTAAAGCTGCTGTTGAATTTTATCTGTAACTTGAAGAGTACCATATGACTTATGTGTTTCTATCCTGATAATGCCTGTGGTTCTTTCTAAGGTCCAAAAGCCTGGAGAAGCACTGGGCTTTATATTCCTCCCAGAAGAACAGCCACTCTGCATTTTCCTGCTTCTGCTGTTGCAGCTAACCTGGAGGTGAACATTTCCCTTTGTTTCTCATGAAAGGCAGAAGAACTTTCCTTGCTTCCCTTCTCATTCATTTGAAGTTTGTCTTGGCCTTACTGAGACACAAATTGCAAATGATTTTCATGTTTATCCTACCATAAACCTCTTTCTACATTTCTCGAGTCTTGGTCTCTCACCTTTGTCCTGAAAAATGTCTGCGCTATGCAGCTGCAGTGGACATATCTCTGATTTCCGTTTGCTCGATACTGTGGCCATCTCATGTTGGCCTCATACCTCCTCTGTGCCCTTCTCTATTCCCCTAGATAAGGCAGAGGTCAAACAAGACAAATACCTCTATTTTTACTTTCAAGATTAAAGTAATAATCCCTGTATTGACAGTGAATAGGATGGGAAATAATAAGGTTGAATGTTGTCTATGTGGAGCAGGCTACTAGTTATTTCTGCCCACTATGAAAATATCTTATTTGCCTCACCTTGCTGTCTTCTGCTATCATCTTGCATCATTTCAAGGCCTCAAAGCTGTTTTCTTTGACGTTTCATTACCTTTGTCATCAGGACAGACAAATACCTGCACTATAAAAAAAGTATTTTTGTGGGGTTTGTATCTTGACTCTGAAATCAACCTCTATGTAACTGTAAGTGAAAGGGGGTGAACACGACAGTAGAGGTAGTTATCCAAACAGTATTATCCCATAGCAGGGTGGGTTGGTTTTTTTTCTCTTTAAAGGGACAGTAGGACAAACTTTGGGCAGAATCGGGCAGAACTAGTCTGGAAACCAGGCATTCCCATGTGTTCAGTCACTGATGGCTGGCCCATGTGGCTATTACAGCGTTTCAGAGAGTGCATGGAAAGCAAGTGAATTATTATAAATGGGAACATTATGACCTTCCTCAGCTTCCTTTCTCCTCACTCATTTTGTATCAGGGTAAGCTCTGCTCATGCTCTGCTTTTCACCTTGATGCTATCTATTTATAGCAGCACAGCTGTGATAGCTGTGATGGGAGGTAAGGGTGCTAAAACTGGGGCCAACCAACTTAGAAATTTCTTCAAACCAGTGAAATCCCTCCTTTTGAACAGAGCTGTAGAAAGAGAATTCTACTTTTTGTTGGCAACTGGTCCAGCATTTCCATTTTATTCCTCATGAGTCTTAAGTCTGCCCTTGAATCCTTTCATCTATTTTCATCTGATTGGTGTCTGTGCTGAGGAGAGGAATGGTGTTCCCTATGGTAGCATACTGTTGCCTTTCCGTGCTGACACAAGAGCATCTTGTGGCCTATGGTAGCTACAGAACACACTGATTTTGGAGTGGAGCTACCTGAGGCTGTCCGAATTGCAATGCCTTTTGGTGACTATTGTTCCCCACCAGGTACAGATCGGCTGTCACACTGACGATCTCAGCCATGCTGCAAAGATGAAGCGGCCTCCCCTGGTGGTAAAGAAGTTCAAGGTTGAAAAAACCACCATGGAAGTCTCTAGTCTGTGGGGTGGCCTCATATATATCATAGTGCCAGAGGAGAGCACATTAGGCCAAATATCAGTCACAATTAAAGAGGCTGTGCAGGCTCCATTCTTCAGGCTTGGTAAGTGGTCCCAAAACCCAACTACAGGCAGGGGAGTGAAGAAGTATTTCTATATTGATGGCTTGCCTGTATTTTCCTGTTTTTTTTGTGGTCATGTATGGAGAAGACCTCAGAATAAGTAATGCCCCAGGAAAGCCTTTGCATAAAGCTTTGTATTTCTCAGTGCAGAAAGTATATTGATATGACTTTCATTTAGGAATTAAACTCTGTCTATGTTCCCAGTATAAGTATGTCTGAGACACATTTAAAGTGACTTGATATTAAAAAGTGAGTATCATCAGCTTCTTGCAGCGACAGCAGACATGGGGTCACCAAAGATGACTGGACCCCTCGGCAGAATCTGAAGATCTCCCCCTCATTCAGTAAAACCCAATTACATCTAGATTAATTTATTGTTTCTGAGGCTACACAGGGTGTTTTAGCTATGGTGATTCTCCTCTCTCTTCACATTTAAAACATCTTTTAAAATTGACTACCTTTTGTCTTCTGAATTAGGGGAAACTGACGTCTCTGCCTGGCAGTCAACCATCTCTCAGTACCCAGCCCCCTGGGCTGAGCTGGCCACAGAGAACATCATCCTGACAGTACCAGCTGCTGATGTGCGCCACATGGACAACCCAGAAAGGCTGCTTTCCATCTGGAGCAAGATGATGAATGAAATTGCCAGGCTGGCAGCCATCCCAGCAACTTTTCCAAGGCCAGAGAGGATGGTGGGAGATGTCCAGATATCTTACGGCAAGTATAGTAACTAGAACATTTTGTCTTTATCTGTGATGGATATTTGGAAGGGGAACACACAATGCAGTAACATTATCACAAGATCATGCAGATCCTCAGATCACCAGAAGAATTCCACCAAATTTAAGGGGACTGCCCATGAGAATAAGAATCTGTGAATGTCAAGAGCTTGTACACAAAAGTAACATATTCTGCTACTAAATCTGAGGCTATGTCAGGGTAAAACACAGTGGAGGGAGACAGACTGGCCACTAAATGATGAGCGTACTGTGTCATGTTACTCTTATTAATGTAGGAGTAAGTTTATGCTAATTGCAACAGAAAGAATGGAAACAGCTGGCTGTTGGACAGGACAAATGAGATCTTGAAACTTAAATTAAGGTATGGGACAGACACACAGGCAGTCTACTATGTAGTAAGACCCTGATGTTAGCAGGCATAGGATCACTTAAATCAGTGGGGAAGTGAGAGTAGTGACAGGGGGGAAAGTTCATTGTAAGCAGCATTTTGCTATCTGTCATTTAAGAAACACACTGCTTAAGGACACCTCACAAGGTCAGTGGAACTGAAGCCTGTTATGGGTGGTAAGGAGGCTCCTAAATGCCAAATCTCACCATTATTTGCAATTAATCTTTATTCAAGCATTGCACTTTTCTCAGTAGGATTGGTGGGTGCTTTCAGCTCTACTTGGTTATAACACTAGAGGTGTTTTCTACCACTTTAAATTGGTAAATTCATCAGTTTCTCATGCCACCATTCTGTCAGCAATCCGCAGCTCTAGCAGCTTAACTCACATGGTGTAGCTGCTGTCAGTCAAGTAGGACTAATTCAAGAGAATTGCTCAGGGCTCTGACATAAAATTTTGCAATGAAACATTTTAGTCCCCTGCCTTCAAGATGAAAATCTGCTGCTTCTCTGGGAGCACTTAAGGAATTTTTTTTTCTTTACTTTATTTGTATCTTCTATTTATCATGAGGTATTTTCCCCCGTGTATTTCCTCCAGATCCAGAACTTGAATTACAGAGTTTCTAGGGAGAGCTGGGGTGGGTGCTGGGGTCATTTTCACCAGTACAAACAATACAGTTATTTGACTGTACAGGAATGCACACTGTCCTGGCAATAGTGCCTTCCTCACCAGATCTGAAAGTAAGAAAACACCAGTGACAACAGAAAATTCTTCTATAGACAGAATTAGATTCCCACACCTTCTTTTCACTCCTGTAGCTGGGTGTACGGTCATCTGCAATGTCTGTAGTCCTTGCAAAAGTCATTGGGCCTTTTTTGCCCTTTGCATTGGGTAGTGCTGAGGAGTGGAAGTGGAGCAGAGAAGCGTACAATATGTTCGTTAAACTTTTGCTTGTGGTTGTGTTGATACATTTGATACTATAAGCACATCATGAGCAGCATCCCCTTATGACAAACAACTCAATGAGTTAACACAAAGAGAATTAATTGTATTTTTCTCACTGTGGTGTTTCATCCCATGAGCTTTCCCAGACAGATTGCAAAGATTGTTTGTGGTTTACCTTCCCTGCAGGTTGGATGCATGCTGGCTACCCAATCATGTATCACTTGGAGTCAGTGGCGGAGATGACAGATGTGCAGTCCCTCCAAGCCAATGGCCTTTGGGGTGCCATTCATGAGCTGGGCCACAATCAGCAGCAACCTGGATGGGAGTTTCCCCCTCACACCACCGAAGCCACCTGCAACCTCTGGTCTGTCTATGTCAATGAGACTGTGTTAGGCATCCCCAGAGATAAGGCCCATAATGCACTTGCACCAGAAACTAGAAAGAAGAGGATTCAGGATTACATTGAAAACGGAGCACAGCTGAAGGACTGGGAAGAATTTACTGCCCTGGAGGCATACCTGCAGGTAATCTACAGGCAAATTATGCTTGTAACCAATTTTCAAACTGATCATTTTAATCCAGGACTGCTTCTTTCCTTTTCCTCACTTTCTGCTACCCCAGATTCTCTCTCTCTGTTGACTCGTAGTCTCCAACAGCGTCTTTGTGTGCCAGCTCATAGGGTTCCACAAATCAACATGAGTCAGTCCTGATGTCTCTGAGTATTGCCCTTCAGCTGCAGGGAAAAGTTTTTAAAGCAGTCCTCAAAAAAGTATTTGTTTTGAGTTGTTTGTGATCTCAGCACTGTGTAAAGGTCATTGGTCTGTGGAATGTACCTGTTTGGGATGTCATAGTAAACCACAGCTGTTGGGCATTACCAAAAAAGACTTCTTCATTGATAACTGTTTCTTTTCCCCTTTTTTTTTTTTAAATTTAAGCCAGTCTTTCAGTTTTGTTGGTGCAATACTTCATTTAGTAGCACCCAGGATTAATTGACAGTGCAAACATTGAGTGCAGAGGCATTGAGCAGGGAGCCTATATTTTGTGCTGAGAGAAGAGAGCTTTATATATTATAAATATGTAGAGACATTATAAGTGTGCATACTAATAACCATGCGAAGGTGGGTTGATATTTGTATCAATCTTATCTTGAATGGTTGCAACAACTGTAAAAAAAACCCAAACGTAGCAATCAAGTCTGTAAGCACAGCCATGCCCTTCAGGATGAAAAGCACTTATATAAATACTTGATTTTTGGTTTTGTGTGAGTATTAGAAATATGGGCTTGTTGAATAGTCTGACTTTGATTCTTCAGTAGGGATTCAGAATTTGTCAGGTAGCTACTTATAAATAAGAAAGGAAAATACCCTGTAAAAATATCAGTAACTGAATTTAATAAGAGCTTTTGTAAAGAATGCAAGTGGAGTAATTCTAAGCTTTCATACAAGTATTTTGTACTGTGTCTCTTCTCTTGTGATTCACAGCTGCAAGAGGCCTTTGGATGGGAAACCTTCATTGAAATCTTTGCTGAATACCAAAATATGTCTGAGCTCCCAGATGATAATGATGCAAAAATGAATCTGTGGGCAGAAACCTTTTCTCGTCTGGTGAAGAAGAATTTGGCTCCTTTCTTCAAGGCCTGGGGATGGCCAATCAAGGAGAGCCTTTCCCAGCAGCTGGCTGATTCTTTCCCCAGTTGGTCAGATGATCCAATGAAGCAATATATCTCCTAAGCAGGTTTTTGCTTATGGAAATGTGATCATTTCTGATAAACCCAGTGCTCTGCAGTAGTTTTAAATGATGTCTGATTGGCATGGTACTATAATGAATCTGAGAAGCAGCTCTACATTGTACATGTGATAGAAGAATTAGTTCTTGGCTCCCTCTCAAGCCTGCCTTTGTGCGTTGGGGTCCCGCTACTTCTGTTTCCACTAGGAGTCATTTTAACCACAGAAGGGGTAACATTTGCTGGTTTAATACCTATGAAACAAAGCAACCACTTCCCTTTTTTATCCCCGTCTGTTTCTTTGTCTCTGAAAGGTTCTCTGTTCCAGCCTTACTCCTGTTACACATATGCAAAGGTTGTTAATTAAGAGAATTATAAAAAAGAGTAGGAACAGGGGGAAAAAGTCACTTTAAAAATAGAGACATGTTAGGAGATAGCAAAGCTAGAAATAAATGGAAGAACTCAGATGGAATTATGGCTACAGCAATGAGAAAAGAGAATAATCATTCAAAGGAAAACCTTGATAGACAGCATGGGAAAGGCCTTGACCTTGTTTAATGTTTTGAAAGGGATTTATTTCATGCTTTGCTTTCAGAGTTTAGAGTTCTGCAGTGAGAAACTGCTGCTTTAGCTCATGTCAAAAGCAAAACAGTGTCTGGGCAGTGAAGTTACTACCTTGATCCTCAGCTGGAATAAATCTGCAGACATTTAGTGAATGTAAAACTCTGGCAACATGCTCTGCCTGAGGATCTAAGACAGCAGGTGCCTCACCTCACAGGACTGAATGTGTTAACAGGAAAGCAGCACTGGAGTGTGTCTACAATGGTCTATTTCGATCTCCAATCTAAATAATCAGATCAATGGCCTGTTCTTAAATGCTACACCTGAATTTTCCTTATGTTAAAACATGGACTATAACACAAGTCCATTTTTATGGTGCTTTTCAAGATCCTGAGCCAAGCGTTTGCTTGTCTTGTGGCTGTGGGTTTTTTTTTCCTAGTGAATGTTACAGAATTCTTGATCTTGTGGTTAAGGTCACTGACATGCACTACAGGGGACAGCAGCAAAAGAGTCAGAGGCTCTCTGCAACTCCTCCAGGTCCTGTGGCAGAGCAGAATCCTGAGCAGATTCTTCAGCAAAAGAGCTGGGAAGTAAAGGATACAAGGATCAATAATTTCTTTTCACTGTGCCCAGGTAGACGTATGTCAAACCTATGAGTTATCCAAAGTCAGTGAAGTGACATGCACTAATAATACTACAAATAATTTACAAGTACATCCAATAGCACATGATCCAGAAAGATCCCCCAAATACTTCAATCATCCTGAACTTGAAAATCATTATTCTATACTTTGAAGCCAAATGTTGAAGTACTATGACTTTTTTCTTCTGGTAAAGTCCTACAACTAATCTCTTTTGAAGTTTTGATGATTCTAAGATGAGAAAGAGCTGAAGTCTTTATGATTTGTTTCTGAGAAATTAAAACCTAACAGTCCGTTATTATCTCCTCAACTCCAACATTTGATAAATTTCCACAAAGCTAGTTTTAAATACCCCAGAATATTCTTCCAAACTGGCTACTTTTAACAGTGATATTTAATGTTTCTGTAGAACCTCTTTCTGCCTCTGGTATCTTGTGGTGGCTTTAATAAAGGCTTTTTGATTGTTCCTATGTGTTTGTACACAATATGATAACATACTGTTCACACATCTGGGATTCAGTGGTCCTATCCAAGGTGTTAGAAATGCTTCCTTCATAACATACCAGCAGAGCATGAAGTATTGTACCAGGCATAAATTTCATTTAGCATTTTCATCATGATCTCATGCTATTATGTCTTGCTGATGCCACATATGCATGGACATTGTTGGTACAGAGTGTATGAATAGTATCTGAAAATAATCAGACGTCACTGAAGATTTCATTATGGGAAATAGGCTGAAATTTTGAAGTACAGAGCTATTTTGAACTCCTCATCAAGAGTTTATTTTCTAAGCTAAGAGCTTATGGATGGGAAATGGCAGAGAGGAAAAATCTGGGCATTATTAGTGGGTCACTGAATAGCTTATGTTACACTGAAACTTAAATAAATGCAGATTATAATAAGGAGGGAGAGTGAGGAACCAGCCTTAGGATTAGTTTTGTTAAATGTAGTTTGCTTAAGCCTTGAGAAGTTAAAGCCTGGGAGAGGTTCTGTGGTTATTTTCTATGACTACATTGGAGTGCTAAACTCCAGAAATGAGGAAGAAACCTACCTCAGATGTCTCCAGCAGCAGTAACTGCATGAACCTTGTCCAGAAGATATACACAAGGGTCTGCCTGTGCTCTCAGGTGCTAGCCTGGAGCTAGGGAAGATCTTCAGGTTTCCCCAACTTGGCATTATCAACTTAGCAGTCATCTGCTCTGTATCTGTTTCCCTGGCTTCTCCCCTGGGAAGGAGTCTGAGTAGTATGGTGTTTTATTTTAAAATGGTAGCACACACTCGTGTGCTCAGGCATGGGTGCTGCTTCTTTACATTAAAAGGGGGAAGAAAGGTGGGAAATTGTGCCTTCCACTCTGGACAGAAGATTAAGGATAATTCAGATAACCTCTCTGACAGCCTGGGGCAGACTCCTGAGAGAGCTGTTTGCTATCTCTGGAACACATTGTTGATCATGGCTATGAGCCCACAGCCTGACCCTATCTTTCAGATCCTCTAGGCATGGGGTATCCTATGAACCAAGGCCTACAAGTCAGTTGCTTCTTTTATGAGAGCCGGTGCAGGGTCTGGAGCACGGTGCTTGGTGTGCTTGAGGTAGCCAATGCTGAGAAGACGTGCTGCAGTGTTCTGCTTCTGCTGGGGCCTCCTAAGAGCTGCAGACTTGTTCTCTGAGTATACTGCACTGCTGTAGTGCCTCTGAGTGGTAGTGAGGGCATGAACGATTGGGTTGGAGTTTGCCAGCTTAGGCTTGAAACTGCCCACCAACTACAAACCACAACTGTTACAGAAGATCTCATTTTTGTGAGGAGCCCATCAGTGAGCCTAATCACCTGAAATTAATCAGCCAGTTTATCAAGGGTTATTAGTTTCTCGGTGAACTGTAGGCTCTGTATGGTGGATAAACAGGGAATCTGTGGCAGCAGCAAAGGGTGAGAAAAAGCAGTGATGCTATTTAAGGCTGAGGGTGTCTCACTTCAACCTTCTTGCTCATCCTCTGCAAGCAAGTTAGTGCCCACTAGGACCCCCGGTCCTTTTCTGCTAAGCTGCTTTCCAGCTAGGTGGCCCCCAGCATGTACCGACACATGAGATTGTTCCTGCCCAGGTACAGGGCTTTGCTCCTCCTCTTGTTGAATTTCATGAAGTTCCTGTCAGCTTATTTCTCCAGCCTGTCGAGATCCCTCTGGATGGCCGCATCCACCACTAGTATCAACCACTCCTCCTAGTTTTGTGTCATTGGCAACTTTGCTGAGGGTACACTCTGCTCCATCATCCAGGTCATTAATGAAGTTGTTAAATGGGACTGAAACCAGTTTTGACCCCTGGGGTACACCTCTGGCCTCCAACTAGACTTTGTGCCACTGATCAGCACCCTCTTACCAGCTTGGCCAGCCTGTTGGCAAAGGTGGATGCCATTTCTTCCAAGCATCTTTTCCAAGCAGCTGTTGATCCTCAAAGAGTCCCATGGTCACAGAAACTAAAACCCTGTGTAGTGAACCTGACCAGAAGACTGCTGAGAGTTAGAGATCCATATAAAAGTTAATCTGAGTAGGTGTAGGTCTAGGTGCTGTTCTGTGATGTGTGCACAGCGTGACCTTCAGGCTGTGTTGTGCTGCCCATGTCCCTTGTCCACAGGGATACTTCACTGGTTGATTGTAAGAGGAGCTTGCAGGCAGCTCCCACTCAGTACCAGCAATTATACCCTGCATACTTGCCTTTTATCTAAGACAACAGCAAGAAGTGCCCATCTGGACATTCTTTTGTTGGACAGAAGGAATGATGAATATGACTGTTTTCCTTGTAAAAAAATCCTCTAAGAGTTCAGAGGAGCAAAATGAGGTAAGCTTTGCAGAGATGGGATCTGCTTGGAGTCCCATGACCTGATCGTAGACCACTCAGTGCTGCACAACTCAGGGCTCCCAGCATCCAAAGGGACATAAGATTATCTGTACTACTCACTCTTTCTTTATAGTGTTATCTCTGATAAGTAACATTTTAACTGGTACTTTACAGAGCCTGAGTGCCTTTCTTACCGGCATCATAACAAAGCAGCATTTTCTTGGTGCAAAGCCCTGACACCAGATGCACAACTATTTGCATCTGTTGCACCTGCATGGAGCCAGCTGTGTTCTACCACCACTCAACCAACATGCATGGCAGAAATACGGGCTATTCTCCTGCCCATATGGCTGTGCCAGAATCAAAATAAATGGCAAAGGCAGCTCTGTGGTTGCCTTGCTATGTGTCAGTTGCAGGAGAGCTAGGACTGCACAAGCTGCCTTGTTGAAATTACATATACTGTGTCCCTCTGCCTGCTTCCTACCTGAACTGTGAGCCTAGTTCACAGACATGGGTAGGCATTTGGACACAATGGGGTTGCAACTGCAGCACAGGCACTGTTTTGGCATAGACAGAGCATCCCTCAAAGAGTTATGTTTGTTTTGTGGTATGGCACTTCAGTGTTTGAGCAGGAAGCACAGATGCTTGTTCTCATGTAGAAAAAAGTCATCAGTAACTCCAGTGTTTGGAACTACCCAGAGCAGGCAAGATTCATTCCCATTAATAGCGTGATAGTATTTGTTATGCATACAGTTTTCATCCACTGCTTTCATTTGCTTTCATAACTCTTTTTTTTTTTCAGTAGTTGTGGAGGGATGGCCAGAAATCTCAGCACTCCAAGAGCAAAACCCACAGCCTCTGGAAACAGGAAGACACCACTTCTTGCTTTTCAGAACTGTGAAACAGTCTCATGATTTCAGAAATGACTCATAATGTTTTGACTCTGGGTTGCACCCACACTACATGGCCTCCACATCAGCCACTCTTCAGGCAGGGGGAAAGGACAACGTGAATCTGTCCTGCAGCATGCTCACCCTAACCTGGACCATACTACCCTCAGTTTCCCTTCTTTATTTGACCAGGAGTCAGGCAAGTGCCACCTGGTGCCTTCTTGGGTGCTGTCACCTGCCTAATGCCATCCATGGACACAATGAATGTCTTCTGTAATACCTGCACCAGCAGAAATACACCAGCTCACACCAGATACACATTTTTATCAGGTGTTTTCTGAGAACAGCATGCAGTACTGTTTCTTTCCCAATCCTGCTTCTCTCTCTCCCCCCAGTAATGCCTGGCATTTTCTTTCCCTCTCTTGCTGGTGATGCCATCAATGGACACAGAGCTTGCCAGCAGCAGAAAGGAAACAAACATCCCTTTCTGCCTGGGCTGTTATCTGAGCAGGTGGGACAAAACCAGCTGGGCATACCACCACCTCCCCCTGCAACAAGATTCCCACTGGGAATTTTCCAAGACTTGCAGAGTAGGATTGAGGGAGTGGGGAAAACTGGCTGTGCTTTCCCCTGCAGAAAGAATCAATATGCAGGGAATGAGGTGCATTCCCATTCTGTCCTTCCAGGAAAACCAGAAGCTAGCTCAAGTTTGAACCAAGACATAATTAATTTTTTTTCTTCTGCAGTCAGACCACGTCTTCAGTGTACGTATCCTCAGAAGTGAATGTCACTGTGGCTCCTTCCCTATCCTCAGACCTAAGTTCCTTTCCAAAAGAAAAGTTAATGAGCCAAGGAGTGGAGAGCATTCAGGTCTTGTTCTGGCAGCCAGTTGGGATGTGGCCATGGAGTTCACCTGAAAGTAAGGACCGCAGATCTCATCATGAAGTCTGCTAATCTGATACACTTTTTGTACTTTCCACCCAACCTCCTGGTTCAATATGCAGCAATTGCCCTTCTGAAGCTTTCTGCAAGTGCTATACCTGACTGCATATCTTCACCTCTGCCTCTTGCTGTGACATCTGCTGCCTCCTGAACCAAGACAGACTTGAGACTGTTATAATGCCTGTTTCTCATACATTGGAGAAAGGTACCTCTTTCAGATAAATCTGTATTGAAATGGAACATGTAAAGAGGAAGGCTTTTGCATTATTCTACATCTGTGCAAACATCCACTGTGTATAGACTCCATCCCTGCCTAAAGCCCAAGTGCTGCTGTTGAAGTGGACTAGTGAAGGACACTGCCTTTACTTGGAGTCATGTCTGAAATTCCTGCTCAGTATTTCACCACTTAACTTTCGATATGGCTGCACAAAGCAGGGACAGAGACCATTTCCTCTGTTTACCTTCATTTGCTGTATTGTACAACTGATGTAAAAGATTGGGTTTGTACTTGTGTATGCATGTATATATGTGTGTGTGTGTGTGTGTGTGTGTCTTTGCAGGGAGATGGGATCAGGAATTTCCCTTCAGCGATTCTGCAGGCAAAGCCAGCATCATCTTCCAGGATCCCCCTTTTGTCAGGATAAGTCAAGAAAAACTTTGCATTCCAAATCTGGGGCATGGAGACTGTTTCTAGCAAGTTACATTTTCCTGCAAACCAGTCCTTTGGTGTGAATTTTGCTCTGCCCCACGCCACTTCCCAGGAGCCAGAACTGCAGCTGCCTCTAAAACTTCCTGTAAAACATTGTTCACTCTCTCTGTGTCTTATCTCCCTCTTTTTCTTCCTCAAAACTCTGCTGCTGTGGTTTCCAGAACTGAACTGGGGGAAATAAAAAAGAGAAGTCTATTGTAATGTTTTTGCTTGCTTTCATGTTGAACAGGACAACAAAGTTTTCTCCATTATGAAAAGTTCCCAGCATCCCAAGACGTTGCAACAGCCGAGCTTTTGGTCCAGCGGCTAAAACAGAAACCTGGCAAATACGTTGCATCAGTGGAAAATGACACAAATTTGTGCTAAGATTTTTTATGAATAATAAAAAAGTAACCTAGAGCTGATTTTTCAGGCTGCATTTTTTGTCTCAAACTGGACTTCCCAGCTCTTCAAGGACTTTAGATATCATTGATTAAAGGGGAGGAATACAGAGACAGAGGTTTGGGGAATTTGAGGGAAGCAGAGCACTTTCTCACGTCTTGAATCTCTGTGTCTGATTTGCAGTGATGCCTGATAGAGGTCATCTATCCTTTTCTCACATTAGAAATCCCTCCTGGGGAGACTCTGGCTTTTATCCTTCATGTGATATCTGACTGCTCCCCCATCCTTTGTTGCCACACTTAATCCTGCCACACGTGTCACTAGGATCTTCAAAATCCAACTCCTTTCTGCTACATCCTGGGCAAACAGTTGTGGGCATTCACTTCTACACAGCCTGCCCTGTTGCTTCCCTCACATGTGATTCTCCAGAAGTGTTCAGAGCCTTTCTCACATGCTCTGTGGATGAACACTGGGTTGTTCCTGCTCCTGGCCAGTCCAGCACACTCACAGTAATATTCTCACCTGCAGGTGCCAAACACACTGAAAAGCTGAAACCTCCTTGCAAGGAGGCTGGGTTGGTGGAGGAGCTGGGACTTGCCACTCAGAAAAGAGCCCATGCAAAGAGTAGAATTAACATTTATTGGTATGGTGGTATTTTTTTAAGTTATCCACACAGAATATGCTGAAGGAAGAAAGAAATATTAAATATAAGCCATGAATAATTGTTCCCTTCAAGGGTGGGCCAAGCACACTCCACTGAATGCTCTTCTCTCAAATCCTGCTCCAGTGGTTTGGAGGACGAGTATCCTTTCACGAAACAGTGAAGGCACTTTCCACATCATTGAGATAACGACTGGACAAGGAGTCAAGGAAAGTATTGGAGGATCAGGGCATCCATCTGTGAAGGAAAACAGTGAAAAGGGGCACAGTTGGTCCTTGATCTAAGCCTGAGATCTTTCATCCAGGACTGATCTCCAGCTTGGAAAGAGATGCAGAATCACAGGCTGGGAACTGAGGTCCTTCAGAGCTGGGATTCTGTGGCAGGCTTAGTTATCCCATATTGCAAGATGAAGCATTTCTGTGAGCTCAGGCCAGCTTTTCATCAGTTCTTTCAAAAGCTGCCCTTTCTCAAGGATACTCCTTCAGGTCCTTCATCCAAAGTAGAGTTTCCTTCCTCAGAGAAATTTGGCTGGCAGTTCACAAATTCGATAGCAACTTGTGAAGCAAAGGACATTATTCCAATTACTGTAAGTGTTGGGGTCTCTTTTTCCCTTGACGTGAATTGCAGCACATTTTTCTGCAAAGAGTAAATTGGGTTCCCCAGGTTTCCAGAACCTGCAAAAGAAAGTTCCTTCATTGGGAATGCATTGACAGACATGGCAGTGGGGATGAAGTCACCTCAAACAGTCGTGGAAGAGAAAGGGGAAGGTTGCAGTGACGGAGATCAGGAGTCATAAGTTTTGACTAGAAAAGTAGTCAAGTTTTCTGACTGATAGGGCAGGTGGAGACAGAAATTCCCCTCTGACACATACCTGCCTTACACAGTGTATTGGTCACTTGGACTGAGGGATGCGAATTACAGGACCTTCCTCGCTCCCCTGGGATACTCACGTGGCTGCCTTCTCATATGGAGTCTCATCCACCCACTGCCATTGCCCATTTTTGGAGGCAGTTAAGCCGATGTAGTATTTTGTTTCATAAGCGTTAGCAAATAGTCCTTTTGCCAAGTTGAAGAGGAATTCCTGGAAAAAGCACAGTGTCCATGAGGTGCAGGACTGAGCAGAGGGAAGAAGGAGGAGCCCCCATGGGACTAAGCCAGTGCTGAAGGGATGCAGAAAGGACATCCCCCTTCCCCTGCAGGACAAGGAGGGGCTCTGAGTGCCCTCCAGGGCCTGGCACGGTGTCTGTGGCTGCTGTGCCCCTCTGTACCTGCTCTGCTTTGCTGTTGATCACTGCCAGGTGGGAGCCCATCCCAGTGCAGTTCTGCTCGCTCTCAGCCCAGGACATCTTATCATCCGACAGGTAATAGCACTTTCCTTGAAGGCGTTTCCAGCCATTCGGGCAGCATATCCAGCTCTCCTCTGTGGGAGGGAAAAAAAAAATACTGTTTTTGAACACAATTTGCTGTCCTTCATCTTAAGAGCTCAATGTAAGGCCCCAATGTTAGGGGCGGGATTTGAACCACACTTTTAATCTGGACAGAGGTAAACACTCTCTTCTGTGCTCCACAGGTAAAGCTGTCAACAGCCTGACAGTCTCCTGTCACAAGGCCCCTGCCTGAAGTGTCTTTCCCTTTCTCTATCTGTTCTGCCATGTCCATGCAACCCTTGTTTGATGAGTGACACAGTTTCTTACCGAGATGGGAATTAGGTGCCTTGCATTTCTCTGGGAACACTTCCATCAGAGAAGTGCCGTCCAAGTGTTTAGCTCTCCACTCATGCAGGCTGACAGTCATGTACGGAAAACTGCTCTGAAAGCCTTGATGCCACCACAGGCAGTTCCTTGCACCAGCCAGGTTTTCCTAGAGATCTGCCTTATAGCCAGAAAGTCACATGAGAGACCAAAAACCACAGCTATATTCTCTCAAAGCATGAGGCTATATACTTGAAAGCTATGTATCTGTATCTATGAGTAGTATATATTATAGTCTGAATATATCTCTATACAGAGTATATCAGGCTGAAAAGTTCATCCAATAAAGTCAACAAATAAATACATCCTTTTACATGCTACTTTAGATGCTTGCTTTGAATCTCAGACCTCACAGGGACTCTCTTCTTGGGTTTCCCAGTCAGGAGCTCTTCAGGGGGTCCCATGCAGTGGCAGTGACCTGGTCAAGCCAATGCTCCAGCCCACCCACAACAAGCAAACACATCATATTCATGCTAAAAGGTGGACCCAGATTAACGCTGTGCCCTTCAAGAACCATCTTCACAGCACAGTATTTCACATCCCATTCTGGGAACCGAATAGAGTCCAGTAAGTGAAATAGCTAGAAAAACTTACCTGTGCTCCTATATATTAGATGCACTGAAGGTGCACTGTTATGTACCTTTGTAGAAAGAGAAGCCGTGGCACTAGAGTGTGAGAAAATATGCAAAAACAAGTTCAAGAGAGAGTCTGTCTGCTGTTCAGTGGACATGTTTGTGCCTTGTGGAGATAGGCAGGGTTTTTTACAGTGAAGAACAAACTGAGCATGTGTTGAACACAGCTTGTCTGATCTTCCATAGACGTCCACCATAAGAACACAGGTGGCCCATACCTGTATTATATCTGCAAACACCTTTTCATCATGGACTATAAAGGGAGTCTGAACAGCTGGTTCAGGTATACTCAGCGTGCAGGGGTTAGCCTCTGTGCAAACTGCAGTGTGTTTCTGAATGCAGTGCACAAGTGAGAACAGACCCCTGAGCCAAGTTTGGGAATTTGCACTGCAGGAATTCTAAGCACTTGCCACTGCCATCACTTTGTGTGTGATTGCAGCCCAGCTCTCCAGCAACTCTAAACTGTGTGACAGCATCCTCCTACCACTTCTGCCTCTGTCCTTTGCACTGACCATGATGCTTGTGTGAACAGGCAGAGAGCCAGCACAGGGAGTGGGGCTGTATTGAACCAGCCCTTACAAAATGGCAATGCTCTTTTGGCTAGATTGGTGAACTGGAGTAGCAGCTGGGAGGTTGTGTGAGGGCCAGTGAGAGGAGAAGAGTAGGAAGGGTGGTCAAAGGTAGGTCTGAAGCAACCTGCCCTCTTCCTCTGGCTCAGAACATGTTTTCATAGCATCCTAAGTAAAAATGCAATACAGCATTTTCTGATGACTGACACAAGGGTACATTTTGGTAAGGTTCTTAGAGTTGCCTAATCAGGCTTTTGGCATCACTCACTCTTGTCTGCAGATTCGCTGGGGACGCAGTGCCACTCTGTAGCATTCTGGAGCAGAGTCTTGTACTGGCCATAGCTCCCATGAAGGAAAACCACTGGGAAGAAAGGAAAGAGAAGGGAAGCACTACTGTCATCCCTTCCTCCTCATCCACGAGCAACTTGTCCTACCCTCCCCCATCTGGCTTAGAGCCCCCACAGAGACTCTGTCGTGTTAAAAAGGTCTGAAATCTGTATCCAACAAGGACATGAGAAACAGTAGGCTGCTTCTCCCACTATGGGTCACTCCGTCCTTTGAACAGGCATTAATCGGATGAGCTCCTCTTTCCTCTGCTGGCTGAGAGACTCATTTTCCCAGCTGACAAAACCAGCTTAGACATCCTTTGAGGACAGGGCTCAGGGAAGGGTCAAAGAAGTCATGGGATAAGCTTAATAGAGGTGGAATATTAAAATACATTCCTTCTTCATCTTCCTGGGCATTGTAGCTTTAGAGCACCACTTTTATCAAGAAGGGGTAGAACTGTTGAGTGCTGAGGCCTTCTCCAAGGAAGTTAAGCAGCAGCACAGAGGAATCATCACAGAGCAGTATCATACTTCAGGACAGAACAAGCAAAGGGTTTCCTTTTTGGTCAGTCCAGGCAGCCTGGGTGGGATGCGGCTGGAGGATCCAGTTGGATAGATTCACCTCCACTGTGCTAAAATATGGCAGCCTAGTACCAGTATTTTCAAAGAGATAGCACTGGCTCCGTGGCTGCAACATTGTCACAGGGAGCTCTGGGAGCAGCAGACAGACCAGGTCAGGAGAAGCAACATCCAACAGCCAGGCTTTGGGGAAGCTACTCAGATGCCCTATGGCACTAAAGAGACTTCTCAGCTCTTGGTGGGAGGGGAGAAACTGACTGGTTTCATCCAGAACTGGCTGTATTTAGGCAGGTGGGACAGTGAGAGGAGCAGGAAGGTCCTGCCAGGGAATGAACCATAACTGTGGAAGGGACCCTAGTCCCTGACTAAGAGGGCGAAGATGGGAAAGGGACAGCAGAACAAGCTGTTTTGGCAAAGAGCATTGGCCTGCTGGCAGAGAGACTAGGATATTGGTTTTCCTTCTGACAAAAGGCAGTCAACTGCTCCCTTCATCCCTGGGGAATTAGGAGACCCTGGAACCCACCAAGGCAGACGGTTACAAGGGCAGTTTTGATGGCAAGGACAGAAGCAAGGAAAACCCAAGGGTTCAGCCGGGAGCAGCTTCTCTCTTCTGCTGGAGCTGAAAAACACAAGGCAAGAATGGGAATCCCCAGGCCCAGAGCTGGGGGCAGGGTAACCCAGGTGGCTCTGTATCCCAGCAACCTGCTGGTACCCTTGTTCCACAGAGTGGGGAGTCCCCTCGGTCCTGCTGCAACCAGGTCCTGCTGCCCTTCTTTAGCAGTGGGTCAGACCCACAGAGTAAAGCAACATAGGGGCTGCCCTGAAGCTGCTCTTCTATTTCACTTTTTATCACAAGCCCTGCCTGTACTCTTCCCAGACTGCACCCTTCCTTTCTCTGTCCTGTCATACCTCCTTTCTCCCCAACACATCTTCCTTGTTGCCCTCCACTACCCCTTGTCTTTCACTGAATGCTCTTTCCATACTGCCCTCCTCTTCTCTCTTTAGAGCTTCTTCTTCTCAGCCTCCTTTATTTTGGCTCTATCCCCCAAGCCCTTCTATGCAGTAAGTTGTGGTCACTCCAAGAAGCGACTGCCCAGCTCAGTGTTTGCAGAGGCAGACACACAGGAGATACTGTTTCCTCAGTGAGCGCAGGCACTTTGAAGCTCTTGGGAGAACCCTGGCTTGGTTCTCCTTAGAGATACCAGAAATGGGAGCAGTGACTTGTGCTTAGCATGATGCAAATAGTTTTACCTGGATAATGATGGTAGGATAGCACTCTTCAATCCCACCATTTACAGAGAAACACTGAAGGGGATGCCAGACCATAGTCTGTCCGGACTTTCATCCCCCCTGGCTCGGGAAAAAAGCTCATTCTGCCAGCCCAGGTGCTTCCCAGTTCCCTCATCTGTTGCATAGCTCTTGTCCTAAGCCACTTCTCCTGGGGTGACACCAGCCACTGTACCATGCCCGTTATCTATCCCAGCCCTGTATTTTCCCCACCTCCTCCTCCTCCTACAGGAGGACAGAAAGGAAGCCTTTATGATTACCTGCAGTTCCAGGGCTGACTCTCCCTCGGCGACTCATTACCACTTTATCACTCTTCTCCACCAAGAGTCCACATTACCAATATGTGGTCATGAATACAGCCTTCCTCCTGCACAGAAGACTGTGCTAGGGCAGCTCACACGCTGATGAAGAGCCTTCGCAGTCTCTAATCCAAAAAAATTATGTCTTGGGTGTTGCCCACAGCACATGGAGATGCGGGAAATTTTCATCATTTCCCTGCCAGGACATTTCACAAGATACTCAATTGCAACATGGAAACTCACAGAGGGAAATGAAGACAGATGAAGAGCAATATTGTTACAGCTCAGACAACCTCCTTTTGCACTTATTCAAGCAGTTTCACAGGACACACTACTGGCCATACCTCTTTGGTGTTTGTTCTTCCCTGGTGAGTGAGTATGTGTGCAAAAAAGCCTACACTGTTGGTATTTGCTAGCAAAGAGCTAAAGCCACTCACAACAACCCACAAAAGTGAGTCAGAACATGACAAGAAAGTGTATCTGTGACTCAGGCTGGGCAAATCCCCATGTGAAGCCTGAGACCAGTAACCCAGAGTACAACAAAGATCTTGCCAACACTGTTTTTAACTAATTGCCCAGGAAAAGAGGATGGAGCTTTGAGTGGACGGATTGCATGTGATCTGTCACGATGGAGCTGGAGGTCAGAAGGGATCATTAAACGGTGCCAGAATCCCTGTGCATTACAGGTTATCAAGTTTTATTTGGTCATGGCTACAAAAGGCACAGCCATACCTGGTGCTTCTAGCACTGCTCAAGGCAACTTGATTCAAAACCCTGCAGGATGAAGTGTCCCTAAGGATACCCCGAAGGATAAATATTCTCTACTGGATCTCATTGCACTCTGAATGGACTGGGGTGGATATGCAGCCTTTGCTCTTCCATGTCCCATCAGCTGGTTTCTCCCAGTGATGAGGCATGCACGGATGCACTGAGGAAGGTATGGGATAGCTAACACAATAGCACAAGCACACCAGTTGAAGACTCAAAAGACCAGAGCACAAAGCTGGTTACCAATGAGGACAAGCCTAAATTGTGTGCAAAAAATCCCCTCTGAGCGTGTTTTTTTGTGCACAACAGGCTGCAAGCACAGTCAAACCATCTAACAGCTCTGTTGCATTGGAAAGATGGTCCGTACATGTGCTTGCTGGTATCGTAGAAAGTATGAGCTAGAAGGCACTAGCTGCCGGATTCACAATGCAGTGAGAGATTCTCAGTGACATTTTAAAAAGTTCCCATGCATAGTGCTGGAGAACAGAACTGAATTGCACCACAGATGCCCAAAAATGAGAATGCACTGTATTTGGTTTTGCTCTAAAATACACTTGCTTTCATGCAGATGGGCAAAGAGATGACTTCAGCTGATCCGTATGGAGAATATAGAGGGTGCAAAACAGTCAGAAAGAAAATGTGCTCAATTCGTGTGGTTTAAATCTAATCAGGATGAATAGAAGCGGTTTACCGATTTATTCATGACATGTAATTAACTGTCAAACCATGACCTCTACATTCAGGATCAGCACCAGCAATCCAACAGATAAAGCACAATGCCAGACACAAAAATTAATACACACCTGCAAATTTCTAAACATCTTTCTGTAACTAATACCCAAAAAGCTCTCACCCCCACATACACCACATTCACGTGATTGCTTGTGCAACCTCCTGTCACCTACCCCCGTCACAGAAAGTGCAGGCTGCAAGAACACATCCCCTTTTCTGGGAGCAGGGGTCCCCCTGTTCTCACGCTTTTCCTGCTGGAGAAGGAGGTTTCTGTGTATCCATGCCACTTCCTACAGCTTGCTGGCCCGCAGACCTGTGAGAAAACACAAGGTCGCATATGCACACTGAAGCTGTGAGGCTGTACATGTTTCACTCCGTACTGCCAGGAATGCAGGTTACCCATGGCATCCAACAGGGAGGATGCTTTGTCACAGTCGGAGGTTGCACAGTTGCAGGACAACCGTCAAAACAGATTCTGACTGCCACTTCCTTCCCACTTCTCCGTCTGCTCTCTGTTAAAACTGTTCTTGCTTATTCTAAACTTTTTTTCCAGACTTACTCTTCTCTGTCTTAGAAGCCTTTCACTAATTCCCCAGTTACTGTTAAGCCTGTTTGATGGTCATGTTCTTCTTTAACATTAGAGGGTTTGGAGCAAATCACCTTTCAGATAGTTTCAAGTATTCAATTCACACAGATGTTTTTGTTCACATTCCTGTTTTATCAGTTGTTGATGTCTAGGCTACTGAACCAAGAGGAAGGTTTGTGCAAGCACCTTCATGCAAAAGCACTTTGGTGTGCGCACAGGGTCTAAAGCAGAGAGACAGCAAACACTTTCTTTTCAGCATCACAAACCAAGCCGCTGTTTCCAGCAAATCAACAGCTGACTTCAAAACTTCCAGGTGACTGAGAGCTCTGTCCCACTCCAGAATAAAAAGTCTTAAAGTGGGCAGGGTAGCCAAACTCTGCACTGGCCTGCACAGGAGCTTCTTAGTAGTCCTAGTGCCAGACAGCTGAGAGCAGTGATAGGAGAGAGGTTACCTCCTCAGTGGAAGACTCTGGAAGCACTGCAAATATCTTTTATTTCCAAAATAGCAGGAACTTATTTCTCTTTCCTGCTCCATAAACACCAGCAGCATGCTTGGGGAGAACATGTATCAATGACCTCAGCCTTCTTGTACATCTGTCCATAGTTTTGCAAGTAAACATTCTTGGTTGTTTTCTACCCGCTCTAGTCCTGAGGAGCTTCACGAGTGACCCTAGGTTATTTCACTTCACTAATATCTGTGTCAGATCAGTGTGCTGGTGTTGCCTTCAGAGGCGTAGCGACCTGGTTCAGGAACGGCTCAGCGACCCCACCTCTGGGTCTGCGTGGACCATAAGCTCACAAACACCAATGTGGTGGACGGCAAATGGCGTTTATTGATAGGTGACAGAGCGTTTTATAGCCTGAGTTTACAACGTCACATCCGCCTGCTAACGTCGTAAATCAAACGCTATTGGCTATCAGGAGAGGGGGCCCTTATGATTTCTGTACAGTGCGGTATCTTCCGGCCGCCAGGCCCTAACTACCCACATGCTGGGACAACAGGGTGGCACCTGGAGGTGCAGAATTGCCAAGGACTCCTGCCCCTGAACCACTGGAGACAGTGGTACTTGGTTAAAACAAGTGCACTCTTGGAAGGGGCACTGAAGAACCTCGCATCTACTTTCACAGACACTTTGCGGTATAGACAAGAGTCAGCAAGCACGGCATGCATACAGACAAAATCGCTGGGACATGAACTGTGGAAAATATTGCAGTTACAGGGTGTCTTGCAGGACTCAAGGTTGCAGGAGAAGACATAGACTGCAACTCCCCTCAGGGGTACTCAAGATCTGAGAAGCTGAAAGCCAGAAGTTGGAAGATAAAACTTCATTGGCTTTTCTGCAAAATCATACCACACAATAAATTAGTTGCAGCTCCTATTTAAGAGGTAGAAATGCAGCAAACCACATGTTGGGAGTGCTGAAGGTGCCTGGCTTTAGAAGCAACCAGCCACCTGAAGCAGGATGGAGAATGCACCAGCAAAGACCAGTAAGTGTGTTCACATTCAGAAATGAGCTTGTTAGGTCTAGTTAACCAATTCTCAGGTGTTGATGATAGTTTCTCCATCAACTTGAATCTCCTTGCGAGTCCTGCTTTCCAGTTTGCCTGAATTCAGAATGATTTCAAGAGAAAGAATAATCTGCAACAGTAAAATAAAAGGCGAGCAGTCTAGAAGGGAATGCTGACAAAGCGAAAGGCAGAAAGCACAGAGGAAGTGCTACCAGCTGTGACAATGCAGGAAGACAGACTTGGTCCCACAGAAAGTCCTCCCCAATGTACCTATTTGCTTTGCACATCCAGCTCCAGAGTCCCGAGCCCCAGCAGTAGCTATGACAGTGCAGCTAACAGAGGCAGCTGCCAGGCTTAGCAGTTTGTGCAGCAGTTTCTGAGCTTTGTTTTTGGCAGCAAAGTACAAGCAATCCGGGATGTTTCTGAAGTGTCTTGATGATAACTTCCTGATACAGATTATGGATGAGGAGATGTACTCTACTGGATCTCTCACTTACAAATGAGGAAGAACTGATTTGGGATGTGAAGGTTGAGGGCAGCCTTGGCTATGGTGACTATGAGATGTTGGAGCTCAGGATCTGGTGAGGGGGGAGCAGGGCAAAACCCAGGATCCCAACCAGAGACTTAAGGACAGCAGACACTGACCCATTTGAGGGAAGGCTCCCACGTACCTGATTTACTTCGGTATTGATCTTTACCACATAGAAGCCCAACTCTGTGCTGACATCCTTGCTTTCACACCAAGGCATCTGCTCAACTAACCTGTAGTAGCAGCATTTTTGAAAGCATTTCTGGCCCGTTGTGCAGCACATCCAGCCTTGCACTGAGGAACCATAGCAAGTCACAGAGTGAATGCTACCAAGAGGACTGAGGCCTGTTGTCTGAGGAGTCACCAAAATCATGAGGACAATGCTGGATTGTTCTCTGCAGCATCAGGCACTAACCAAGAGTCCAAATAAGCTACAGGAAAAGGCCAACCTCATTGCAAAGCCAGTGTCTTTGACAGGCTGCTGTAATTGAGGGAAGCTTCCTATCTCTTGAAAAGGCAAATGGACCATCTTTTAGAGCATCTTTCCTATGAGGAGAGGCTGAGAGAGTTGGAACTGTTCAGCCTGGAGAAGAGAAGGTTGGTACTCACCAACTGCCTGACCATATCACTTCCACTTCAGAAATGGGAAGACAATGGCTTTCATTCATGCAGAAAGTTGTGCCAGGTCTGGGGTACTTCAGCCTTCTGGTGGATTACAACATGCATTTGTGTTTATGTCAGTGCTTTCTGTCTGTGTTGACCTGTGTGGCTGCTTATGTGTATTTATTCTTTCTCTTATATCTGTATCTACACACATTGAGTCTCACTACTGGCTGGAGTTGGGGCCATGGAGCTGCAGCAGCCTTGCCTCTGCTGGACTATGGGATTCAGCTGCTCCTGGCACCACCCACAGCCATTCACAGAACTACTCGCATAGGTTTAGAAAGGTAAATCTCCTGGTCACCTTGTCTCTAGAACAAATACTTTCCTCTCTTTTGGGGACAGAGAAAGGATTCTCTTCATACGTGGTCAACCATGCGCAGGACAGGCTCCTGGCGCATGGTCTTGTTACTCTCCTGAGCAAGACTTTCAGCCATGGAAACAAGTTGTCATAATATTCCTAGAGCTGGTTTCCTCTGCTCAGTCTCCTCCAGAGCTTTGGCTGTTTGCAATGGGACTGTGTAGCCAGGTTGTCTCTGAGAGGTTTACTCTTACTAGATGGATGCAACACGTACAGCAGTAGTTGCTTAAGGCTTTATCCTGGCACAGCAACAGCTTTTGATCCTGCTTATACAAAACACCTA